GGCATTCCTCTTTCCCCAGCTGGGGCCCAGGACAAGTCCTGTCGCGAAGGGAAAGGGCCTGTGGGGAAAACCGGGAGTCTGGAGGGGCGGGAGTAGGGCAGGGCACACCTGGGCGGGAGAGAGTCTAACCCAGGAGTCCCCCACCTGTTGCACCGTCCTCCGCTCACCTTGGCTCCTCCCCCCTCATACTCCCACCTCCGCAGCCCCAGAAAGTGACAAACTTTTCTTTTTTATTAAAAACAAAATCCACGGACACAGGGTGGTCTCCCCAAACAGGCTCAAGGTGGTCGCCATCTCGTGAGTCAGTAGTCGCCCTTTTAAAGTGCTGTTACATCAAGAGGTTACAACAAAAAAGGGACAAAGCAAATTCCAAAAGGGAGTGCAAAACGGGACTGGAAGGAGGTCCAAGAGACGGAAGAAGCAAAGTAACTTGCAGCGTGAGTAAATGAAAGTGAACCTAATACTGAGCCGAGACTCACAGCACGTCTATACCCATTGCACATAGCCACTTTGTCATAGGAACAAGTTTCTCAAGTGGACGGGAAGGGGAGTGGGGCCAGCGAAGTCGCTCCATCGAATTCGCAAACCAGTCCGAGGCTGCACACCGGGAGGGGAGGAGAGGCCCGGCTCCCCTTTTCCTCTTCGTAGGTCCAGTTAACCCCTTGAGGTCCGGTGCCCTCGAGTTCAACCGAGGGACTAGACGGTATTTACACTTGGAAAACGAGTCGGGGCCCTAGACTGGGACGCCCGGTGGGGACGGGCAAGGCCTGGGTGCCCGGGAGGAGGGCAGGCGGACGGGCGGCTGTATTTACATCGGTCGGGTCCGAATGGCTTGTTCCTCGCTCGGGGCCGCCGGGGCAGCGGGCATTTACAGGAAGGAGCAGCATGACTTGAGGGCGCGGGCGGGGCCCCCCTAGGGCAACAGCGGGGGCTTGAAGGAGCAGTTGCCAGTGCAGTGGCGGGGCGTCAGCATCTTGCAGGAGAAGTGGTGCAAGGCATCGTGGGCTTCTGGGGAGAGAGCAGAGCCGGCCAGGTTGGGCGCCGCCGCCGGCCCGCAGGACGCGCCCCCACCCGCCTCCCCACCTCCCCCAACCGTTTGGGCTTAGGGGTCCTCGACCGCGCCGGTCAGAAGGAGGCAGGAAAGTAGGAGATGGACCCTGACGATTCAGAACCACTGCTCTGATTCAGTCACCCGGCCCATTTTATTGAAGGGGAAACTGAGGCACAGCGCGAGGGAGGTCGACTTACCCAAAGCCAGAGTTGGGACCAGAAAGCAGATTTTCTGATCCCTTGGCTCAGAGAGATCCCTGCCCTACCTTTCTAATGTCCTCATTAAAATCATGCCCACTTTCCGTCCCCTCAGCTTCTGACCCTGGCAGTCCCTGGCCTGCTCCAGCTGCGCTATCCATCCATCCATCCACCCATTCCACGGCACAGCCAGCATCTGGCACCCTCCCTCTCGTCTTGGTTCCCCGGCTTCTGCACCTTTCAATTTCTGCTGGATGGCATAGCGAGCCTTCCGCTCCTGGTCGAGTTCGTTACACAGGGTATCTGGAAGACAGGGAAGGCCCGGTGAGGAAGCCGCAGCACGCTCCATTGGCAGGTCACAGCCGGGCGTCCTCTCCCCAGGGCGCTGCCCCTGGCGGGAACAACTCAGGGGATGGGGAGAAGGCAGAGAGCTCAACTGCAGACAGGCGGAGGGAGGAAATGGCCTGGGATGGCGCTCAAAGGCAGACGGATCTCACCAAAATTAAAGCAAACTTAGGCATTACTTCCCAGGTAATTTTACGCCTCGATTTTTAATTTAGAAACCATGGAAATTGCCGCGATAAGAAGTTCAATCACTCCATGTAATGATGCCTGCAAGCCGTTTGCTGGGCTCGCTTGCCATTCTGAGGCTAATCAGAGTATACAAAGGATATTAAATAAAAAAAATAATTGTTAAATTACCTTCAATTTAAATCCAAATGACTGAGCCAACATTGCGGCTCCTGCCAGACGAGAGGCAGTTACGGCCGTGCGCGCGCTCACCTGACTCCCGTCTTACCTCTGACAATTTGCAGCTGTTGCACCATTTCTTCTCGATAAGCCAATTCCCTCTTCATTTGATCCTGAAAATTATCTGTGCAAATTGATTAAGTGAGGGCTGTTACGTGCAGCTGGGCAGCAGCCTGCACGTCTTCCCCAGCGGTCCCAGTAGCTGGGGAGGAGAGCGCGACGTTGAGGTGGGTTGGGGCGGGATGGAGGTACCTTTGAGACTCTGAAACTCCCGCTCCAGCTTTTTGCGGAGCTCCATTTGCTCCAGGAGTAGCTTCTGTAACTCATCTGTGAAGGAGGGGCGAGCAGGAGGTAAAGGAAGGGGGCCAGTGGAACTCAGGGGACCTAGAAAGCACCCAGGTCTTGCCCTGGCCCACGGCCCTGAGATGTTGCAGGTAGAGGCCCCCAGCATTCTGGCCTTCCCATTTGCATCAAAGAATTTGGGTGGAAAAAAAAATGGGCAGAGGGTAGGATTCTCAGAACCAAAATCCGATGGTGGAACCAACCCTGTGGGACTTCACCCTGTCTCCAGGAACTAACCAGCATGGCGTCTGCTAAGAGGCCAACCCATGGCAACTTGATTTCCCACTTTGAATGCCACAGCAAACCTCTCCTCAAACCTCTCCCTTTGATTCAAACCAGGGAGAATCTGGTCAAAGCCTGGGACACCTTTCCCAGAAAAATGCACACGACAGTTTGTGAACAATTTCAAGAGGCCCCCAGACCCCAAATCCAGGTGAGGAACCTCATATAAAGCACCAATGGTACTGAAGGCACTGGAATGGGGAAAGACCACCTGCTTGTCCCCATGGCCAGCAGGGTGGGGAAGGCTCCCTAGGGCCCTCAGAAACCAGGTCTGAGCTGGAAAGGGGCTGCCCTGACCAGAAGCCCTTTGGCAGAGGGTCCCCTGAGACATAGGAAGGGACGATGGAGGGGCAAAGTGAGGTTAGGGACTCCCTGTGCCACGAGTCATCCTCTCCCTTACACACTGACAGGAACCTGGGGGTCCCTTCCTGCAAACAAGCCTATCCTCATTTCATCTAGGGTGGGCTAGGGTAGTTATGCATTAATTCCCTGGGAACAGAATAGGAAAGGACCTCTCACACATCCCTAAAACAAATGCCTCCCTGCAGCCTTGCCATTAAGAAAAAGTCCTGTTTTCCACTGTGTTTGGGAGGCTAAGGTAGACCTGATCGTCCCCAGACACCGAGTTCTAGAACTGCTATTCATTTCTCTTTCTCACTGGGCTGTTCAAACAGGCCTGGCCCTGGGAACCCAAACTCCCAATAAGTCTCTGGGGGTTTGGTTCACTTCCCCCTCAGCTCCCACCCCCTTTCTGTGCCCAGATAACAATTCCAGGGGGCTATCTCTTCCACTCCATGAAATGAAAACTGGTCCCCCAGAAGTCACGTCTTTCCCACACTCACCCCGTACAATAACACCCCCTCTACCAGGAGGCTGTCCCCCTCAGGCACAGTGTACCCCCTTTCACAGACTTGGCCTCACCTCTGGCCAGGTTCTCAATATCTTTCTCCACCAGCTGAGTTCCTGTGACGTCCAGGGTTAGCACATCTTCACCTGGGTTACAAGGGCAGGGAAGGAGGGGTCTGTCCTTGGGAAGGCCTTGGGACAGGAAGGTTGAGCTTCCCAGGAGCTAAGCAAGCCAGGGACCGGCCCCAATCCTCTGCCTTTAGAGAAGACAGTAAAGGCCTGAACCACCCACCTCTCAAGCTACCAAGTAGGGGGCAGGAGATGGACCCACGGTTGGAGAGGGGGCCCAGAAAGATGGGCTACTTTAGGACAGGAAGTGCCCTTTGACCGGTTTAATGTGAGTGAGGGTGTCCTTTCAGTAGCGCACCCCCTTTACTTGAAAGAGGCCCAAACCCACCAAGGAGGTGGCAATTCCGGAGAGCAGGCCTACACCTTCCCGG